CTACACTAATTCCAACGTGGATACAAATTAAATAGTGCTAAATAAGCTAAAGCGTATTAAATTAATCTATAGTAAGACCATTGTGAGTATACAAAATTAATGTGATAAAAGCAATTAAGAACAGTGTCAAAACTAAACAATTAAAGTGTTAACCCCGCCCAAGCCCCCTCCTTAATTCCTCTGCCTTAAGTCCCTTTGGGGTGCTTAACCCCAAAGGGAATCTGGTCTGGATTCCAAACTTGTATAACAATTTGGGGTTAAGCACCCTGCCCAATCCCCAGCTTCAAAGGCCCCTTTGGAGATGACCACAGGTGTGTATATATGAGGAGTTTTTGGATAAAAATTTCACTTTTATTATAATCTTCATTTAGCACATATTGATTAGCATTGTGAGTATATTCATCCAAGCACTAATACTTTAATTGTTTAGTTTTTTGTTTTTTTTTAAATCTTTATTTTTCATACGATAGGTATAGCAAGTACGATATAACTTACAGGCTTACGCAGAAGCCCATAACAAATATAACATTCGTGGACGTACAGAATGTAACAAGAGCGCACATGACAAGCCATTTTGAAACCTGTTGTGCCTTGCCTCCCATCGATGATTTGAAAAAACGTTATGCTTCCACTCAACGGGTGAAACAACTGCACAGAAACGTTCGGGCTTACGCAGAAGCCAACAGAAACATTGCAAGTGGTTAAACAATACATATCAAGTAGGCCATGCGAGTCCTTCCTGCGTCCCCGTACAATCGTTGCCCCATCAATGGAGCTTTCACCTTTCCTTCAGGCATATTGGCTACAGTTGGGGCCCCATCTGTAACCCTACGTTTTATAGCTACTTCCGTTCATGGGCTTCCCAGCACCTCCGGCAGCTTGATTAAGCCTGGCGTATAAAAATATTTGTCCCTTGATAATCAAGAGATAAAAAAGGAGAGAAAGGAAAAAAGAAAAAGATATATAGCAGGAAATGGACCAAGAATTAGGAATACAGTATAGAAGTAAAGTGAGAAGAAATAGCTAAGTCAAGAAAAAGAGAAGAAAGAAGGGAGAGGAGAAGAGAGGGGGGGGGGGGAGAACCTCCATTCCCGCAGCAATACATTCAAAGTGCTCTAAGGGGGGGTCAATAAGCGGATCTAGTCCATACTCTGGTCCTTCCCCTGTCAGTCACCATTCGAGCCCACTGGGCTATTGTCCCATGGCTCCCAAAGTTTTTGGAAAGTTACAGTCGTACCCTTCACCCTGGCAGTCAGATCATCCATAATCCTACATTCACGTACCCTAGAGATCACCCCTGAGAACTACGGACCTTCCGGTTTTAGCCACTTAGTCGCTATTTCCCTGCGCGCACTTAGAGTTATTTTATGAGCTAGTTTCTGTTCTCTCCTAGTCCACCCATCCACCGTTCTGTTCAGCAAGTACGTCCAGGGGTCCATCTTCAGGGGTTTATCAAAAGTTTGTTCCAGCAGATCTTCCACCGCTTTCCAGAAGCTGCGTAATTTCAGGCAATCCCACCACATGTGGATGTACGTTCCGCGGGATCCGCAGCCTCTCCAGCAAACTGCTGCCCCTATAAATCCTGTACCTTAGAGGAAAACTCCAGTTCTTCTTGTCCTGGAAGCGGGAAGCATTTTTGTTCGCGTCCCATATCTCCTGCCATTCAAGTCCTTCCAAGACCTCTCCAAGGTCTGCCTCCCATTGGTCACTGTACATCAAACTCCCCCACTCTTTGTTTTCTGTACTAAGGTGTGTATACAGAAGTGTGATCATACCTTTAGGTGCCATTTCCTCCGAACACAATTTCTCAAAAAACGTCAGCTTTCTGACGCGGCTCTAATATGTGGCCTTCGGGCAAAATCCCGTATCTGGATATATCTAAAAAAATCCGCCGGTGTTTAATGGTGGCCTTGTTGTATCTCCTCAAACTGGACTATCTCTCCGTTGCGGTATAACTGATGGATCCGTTGTAGACCGGTATTTTCTATATTTCGGAAGTCCCTTGGAGCCATGCCGGGTTGGAACTCTCTGTTTCTAAGTAGAGGGGTGAGAGGGGAGGGAGTTGACGCTAACCCGTACTTGGCATTAGTCATATCCCAAATATGTAGCGAGTTGAGTATTGCCGGACAGGTCACTCTTGTCATAGGCCGATGTTCTTTAGGGACCCACATCGTGAATTGGGGTATATCCGATCCTACCAGCATACACTCAACCTCTACCCACCTTCTTTCTTCCGGTGGGGAGTGCCACATGGCTATCTGCGTCAATTGAGCTGCAAGATAGTAGAAATATAGATTAGGCAGGCCGAGCCCCCCTCTATCCTTGCGTCTATACAGGATCTTTCGGGATATCCTGTGCCTCTTATTCTGCCATATGAAATCCCCTATCGACTTTTGCAATGGTGACAGTTGCGTTTTCGCAAGTCGAACAGGTAGTGCTTGAAACAGGAATAAGAGGCGCGGGAGGATGTTCATCTTAACAGAGTTGATCCGTCCTATCCAGGAGATGGGTTTGTCCACCCAGTTTTCCAGATCTCTTATTAAAGCCCTGAGCATGGGAGTATAGTTTGCAGAGTATAGACGTTCCGGGTCTGCCTGTCAAAAATACGTCAAGGAGTCTTTTTCCATACGTATATTGTAGATCTCCTGTATTTCCCTTGATTCTGTCTCCGAAAGGCCCACTGACATAGCGCTGGATTTGTGTATGTTCGCTTTATATCCGGACACTTCTCCGTATGCTGTCATTACCTCTTGTAGTGCAGACATTGAAGCGGCCGGGTCTGTTATGGTCAGGAGGACGTCGTCTGCATATGCAGAGACGGCGAATTCTTTATCCCCCACCCGGACACCTCTGATGTTCGGGTGTTTGCATATTGCTTGTAACAAGGGTTCTAGCGCCAATACGAAGAGAAGAGGGGAAAGCGGGCACCCCTGTCTGGTCCCATTGTATAGTCTAAATGGTTTCAGTGGGGCTCCAGTTATCAGCACCTGTGCCCTCACCTTATGATACATTGCCCTGGTTACAGTTATGTATTCCTCCGGGAATTCCAGATGCTTTAACACGGAGAACAGAAATTGCCATCTAACACTATCGAAGGCCTTTTCCGCGTCGATAGACACTATCAGGGTGGGCGTCTTGGTGACCTCTTGCTACCAAATCAGATCTGCATTCCTCCTAGTATTTTCGAATAATTGCCTCCCTTGGATAAAACCTACCTGGTCTGGGTGTATAAGTGAGTTCAGCAACGGGTTCAATCTATCCGCCTGCACTCTCGCTAGGATCTTCATGTCATGGTTAATGAGCGAGATAGGCCTGTAATTCGTAGGCTGGAGCGGGTCCTTTCCGGGTTTAGGCAGAAGTAAGATCGTGGCAATGGTCATATCGGGATCTAGACTCCCACCTTGCCTCAGGTATTCAAAAAGCTTCACCAGGCGCGGTGTAAGCTCTTCCCTGTAAGTCTTGTAATACGTGCCATCGAACCCGTCTGGTCCCGGTGCTTTGTTACCCTTCAGGCCTGAGATGGCCCTGTCCACTTCCTCTTCAGTGATTTCTGCTGCCAGACCATTCGCCGCCTCCCTATTTAATTTCTTCAGTCCTAAAGTTTCTAGATACTGCAGGATATGTTCCTCCTCTTGTTCGGTATGGGTACCCCCCGTTGGAGTATGGTGATATAATTGTTTATAGTATTCCTCAAAAACATCAGCTATTTCTGTCGGCTTTGATTTCGTCGTGCCATCCGGGTGTCATGTGGCCGTGATGTGAGACCGTTCCTGTCTAGGTCGAAGCGTCCTGGCCAGGAGTGTGTCCATCTTGTTTGCCTTTTCGAAAAAGGTACGTTTTGACCACACCATGGACCTGGCCGTGTCGTCTAGCAACAGTGTACGAATGTTTCTCCTCACTGCTTCTAACTGTCTGTAGAGCTCACCGTTCGGGGCCGTTTGATGTTTCAGTTCAAGGGTTCGTAGTTGTCCTAACATAGTCTCTAGCTTTTGATGTTTCAGTTTCTTTCGTCTGGTAGCTATCTTGATCATTGTCCCTCGCACTACAGCCTTATGCGCCGCCCATACCATGCTCGCCATCACTTCAGGGGTGTCGTTCGTATCAAAGTATTCTATCAGCTCTTTCCTAACCTGTGCCACCACTTCAGGATCTCGAAGTAATGACGTATTTAGCCTCCACGTCCATGGTGAAGCTGCGCACAGATTGCCCAGTGTGATGAAGACGTCTGCATGGTCCGACCACGATATGTTACTGACCTGTGAACCCACTGTGCGGGAAATACCCGCAGCATTCGTTAAGAATAGGTCGATCCTTGAGTACGTACCGTGAGGAGCTGAATAAAAAGTATAGTCCTTGGTTCCCGGATGGTGAGCCCTCCATATATCAATCAGCCCCGTTTCAGCAATGAAGTTTCTGAGTAACTGGTCTTGTCTTCCTCTCCCTTGGGACCTTGGTGTTCCGTCTTTTGAGCTCCTGTCTACGGCTGGGCACGGGGCCGCGTTAAAATCCCCCCCCATTATAACTATGGCATGTGGCAACGCTGATATTTTATCCTTCAATGCGTGCCAGAAGGCGGAGTCCGGCTGGTTCGGTGCATAAATATTTAGCAAATGAATGGTGTGTGAATGTAAGGTGCCCGAGACAATGACGTAACGGCCGTCTGGGTCGATGTCGTGGGAGGTCATTCGGAAGGGACAGCTATTGCTAACGAGGATAGCTACTCCATTACGCTTGCGATGGGACCTCGCTTCGTACGTCCCTGCGTATGTGCGGTCACGCAGCCTGAACTTGGCTTGTTTAGGAATATGAGTTTCCTGTAGGTAAGCGATATCCGATTTCATTCTCTTCAGTTCTCTAAACATGAGGCGGCGCTTCTTCGGGCCGTTGAGGCCTTTAACATTCAACGTAGTGATCTTGATCTCCATTGTGTGGAATGTCCATCTCTACTGCATAAACCTGCGTCCCTAGCTCTTCCGTCTCTCTGTAAGCCATTGTCTACCATGTCATTTGGTCTAGTCGCCCAGACTATAGTATCCTCGTTCTGTATTGTCGGGCCCGGGTCATGCCTAAGACCCGCTATTCCGGAGATTACTCCCCCACCCCCGAGAGAAGAAAAGAAAAGGAAAGAAGAGAGAAAGGAAAACTGGAATCTAGTAAAAAACAAACTGGGCGGATGCCCGAGTAATCTGGTCTTACCTGTCGCCAGATTCATGTGGGGAACACGTTCCCACTTCTCCTCTGCAATCATGCTGGGAGGAGCTGTGGAGCTCAGAGCCCTGTCTCTCGCACGCCCTCCCTTATCTTAAGTGACCTCTAAGTGCTCGTCAAAAAAGGCCATGCCAATACTTCCCATCCCGACCCCCTCCACCGTCAACATCCCTCTGCTCCCGTTCGGGTCGGCCTTCTACCATGCAGCCTGGTCTCTACTCTCCATGCATACTCTATCCCCTTAGCTTGGGATTGCGGGACCGTACGCGGTCATTGTCTGCCACAAAAAACCTTCATAACCTGGGGCAACTCCGTGGGAATATTCCTTCGGCATAAGGTCCTAGACCTCCGTCTAGTACACAGTAATCCCCCCAGAGATACTATACCATCCTCTTATATAATGAAAAACCTATTATACAATAAAATGATTTACACACGAGCGCCCACCATCCACTTTGACTTGTCCATTGACCTGTATTTCGCCCCTGTAGGAAGTAGCTGTGTCATCTAAAATGGGGTGAAGGCCAATGGGTCTTTAGGACATGAAGAGCCTCGTCTCCGATTGGGAGTGTAATACCACCCTTCCAAGTGTCCCTCACCTCCCGGCTGACTCCTCCCTCCCCTCTATGTCCATACAACCCTGGCAGCGTAGATCTGGAGAGGTGGGTCAAAACCTGTCAAAAAAAAAAAAAACACCTAGCCTTAGTCACTCAATCTTCGATTGCAATTCACATGAAGAAAAATACCAATTTCAAAACATGTAAGCTTATACACTTTAAACCTGCGGTATTGATTTGTGCATTAGTTATATCTTAGTGAATATTATAGTGTGCAATTAGTCAATGTCCCTGACGTTCAGTCTAAGGTTGGGGTTAACACAGTTTTGCGCCAGGACGGAATATGTGCGGTTATGCTGAAACGAGAGATTGCTTAGCACCCCACACTGTACTCCTCCACACCCAACCAGAAACATTCGCAACTGTTTTTTAACAGTGTCCGCGTCTCTTGCGCGGCGCTCTTCCGGTCGGAACAGAAGTGTAAGTGCCAAGGCATCCGGAAAAAAAAAACACATCCCATAACCCTTAGGCCGCTTGGGTGGTCCATCAGGCCCTGTCACCCACACCCTCCCTCCCAAAACGGAACCCTCCCAACTGCGGTAACACATTCGTAGCGGGGCAATCCGCAGACATCCGCCACAGACATGAGGAACACAAGGAATACAGGAAGGTCCGGGTACCCCTCCCAAAGCCCGCTACACAACAAAAAAACCTACCCAGTGTCAGGCCATTACCCAGTCCCCACCCGCAACTGTAAAACGTCGTCTCCCACCTCTTGGCGAAGGCCTTGATGTATAAGAAAACGAAAATATACGATACCCTCCAAATCTAGCGGTGGCCTCTTGCGTCCGCTTCCTGCCAGTCCGACTGCAATTGGGGAAGCACCTCCGGGCCCAATGCCAGGTTGGGAAGGTTTGGGGGTGGTTGGATACCCAGGTTCCGGAACAGGCGTTGGGGATCACCCCCAGGCAGTAGAACGTGTACCCGGTCTCCCTGAAAGGTGAGGAGCTTGAAGGGGAATCCCCAAGCGTACTTTACGCCCGCACTCCTAAGGGCCTCCGTCACGGGTCGCCAGTCCCTTCGTCGTTGCAGCGTAGTAGGGGCAAGGTCCTGATAGAGAGATATTAAGGTGCCGGCATACCTGATGGGACCCTCTCGGCCTTTCTTCATAAGCCCTTCCTTAGTACGGTAGTGCAGGAACCGGACTATGATATCCCTTGGGGCGTTCCCTTCAGCTTGCATTGCATGCATTGCCCGGTGCACTCGCTCCATATGCCAGCTTTCCTCTGGAAGATCCGGGAGGAGAGGCCTCAGGACGGAGAGTACAAGCTCCTGCAGATTTTCGCCCTTGTCTTCCGGCAGGCCCCTTATGCGGAGGTTGTTCCTCCGTGAGCGATTCGCCATATCCTCCATTGCCAGGTCGGTGTCTACCGCGTGTGCAGTAAGGTGGTTGACCCGGTCTACCACTGCATTGCAAGCCTGAGCGGTGGTGTCCATGCGCTCCTCCAACCTCGCGGTCCGTTCCCCAAGGGCGCCTATGTCGGCCTGTAGGACCGCCGTTGATTTGGCGATTTCACCGGCAAGGTAGGTCCGGACTTCTGCCAGCTTTACCAGGATCGTGTCTTGGTCGGCGGAGGAGGCCTACCTGCTTCCACGAGGCGAGGCCTGTGAGGATCCCCCGTCACCATCTTGATACTCAGGCCGGCCTTGCTTAGGTGCGGTGAGAAGGTCCAAGACAGAATCTCCAGAATCCGATACCTTTTTTGTCTGTTTCTTAGACATCCTCTTCTCCATGGTAGGGGGCAAGATGGGAAGAGAAAAAATAGCACTTTAGGTTGCTTTTGTAAGCTTTTAGGGCGCGATCAGAGCGGAGCTCTAAGGAGACACGTCCAGTCTTCTCGACGGTCAGGCCACGCCCCCTAATTGTTTAGTTTTGACACTGTTTTTAATTGCTTTTATCACATTAATTTTGTATACTCACAATGCTCTTAGAATAGATTAATTTAATACACACCATTTATTTGTCTCCCACATTTAGATTTAGTGTAGGAACCACCGATATTGGGGTACTGTGAACTAGTAGTGGGCTTAACACAATATGGCCATATGGTGGAACGGAATCTCCATATTTTGTCTTCTTAGGCAAATTAAGTAGCCTTATAAGATTCTTAGTGTATTTTTATGTGTTCGCCGTAATTTAATTTGTATCATATAGGATCTTTAAACATTGATTTTTGTTTGGCAGAATTATTCCAACAATGGTCCTTAAGGAATTAATATGATCATTAGAGTAAAGCGGCTATTATGTTCTATATTAGTACATATTATTTACTTTAACTAGAATCTTATCAGTTTGTGAACTTATTGTGAGTTCACCATAATTATTGTTACTATTTAATTTACTTACCTGATGTTGCAACACACGTTATTGACATCATCCGCTATAATGGTATGTACATTACTATACATTTTACTGCACCATACTGCTACAATACATACTATAGAAAGTATGTTGAGAGATTGAATGCATTAGATTTCCATTTTACATGCTTGGTAAGTATGTTGTCCAGCCACGACTCAGTCAGAGCTGTCCCAGGCAAAATGTCAAATTGGCTCAATTTCATATTGCTACAAATGCTTTGTCAATAGCTTGTCAAGATAAATAAATTCCTCTCTCAACACATTGGCTGGTATTTGTATATTTTTCCATCTCAGGTTCTTTAACAAACTTGCAGAGATACTTAAATTATATATACTGTACATTATATTAAATATGAGATCAAGTCATGTGATAAGACATAATATTATTCTTTTAGGAGAAGCCTGTAACAATGTTACAACCCACTGCAGTGGTTATGGTGCCAGGAGTTCCTTGGAGCCCCCCAAAGTTAAGTAGTCAAATCATCTCAAGGGTCTGCAAGGCACCAGTTGTCTCCTCCTTGGCCACCTGATGCTCACTGCACTGAGCTAAGTCTGGCACTCTAGAGACTCACTGACTGTAAGAGCTCAGTTGACGCTCTCAGCCAATGAGTTGTCCTTGAACAGCAGTGCTTAGCTCACTGGAGCTAATGGAAGCTCCTTGTAGGAAGTGAACTGCACTTGGCAGACCTCAAGAAGGTTGTCCACTATTCTCAAACAATTTGAATACTTACCCAAGCAGGGCACCATGGTGCACCTGGCACTATAGCCATTACAGCAAGATGAATTGCATAACCCTCCTTTCTGCCAAGGGGGTGAAAGGATGAGAATGGAGGAGAGTCATAGGATGGAACAAGACTGGTAGGGGAGATTAAAATATTTAAAATCATTCAGTCATGGTAAATCTGTGTTTGCTGAACATATTGTAAGATATGCTCTGTTACAGTTTATGTGACAGACCACCTGGCACCCTGACTGGGTACCTCCGCCAATCAATGCTTCCTAGCTGTCACCATAAGCACTGTACCCCGTTAGCCACCACAGCTTGACTGGGGTCTCGCCGTCCTTCTCACCCTGGACCAAACTCCTGGATCCAGCTCCCAGTGAGAAGACCTCTCCTCTAAGAGAGTATAGCAGTGTAGCTCTTACAAGAGCTAGTGATAATAGCAATCCAAAGAACAATCCCAGGAGTAGGGATTATAGCTGGTATAGCCTTCCCCTACAATCACGAGACGAGGCTCTGGAACTCATTTATTGGTAGCCACAACTGGCCTTTATGCAGGTCCCCATGCAAGGGGCACTCCCCCTTGGACCTGAGAGTAGACTACAGTTAAAAAGTACCTTCATTATCCCCTTCGAGCTCCATGTGTCGAACCACAATCCCTCCCAAACAGCGCACAAATATGGCCACCATCATGTTCAACTGGCGTCTGCCTCTCTCCAAACCTGGGCATGGGGGACCTGCACCAACAAGGCCTAGGAACTATCTCCGACCATATCAGAGTGAGATCCTGAAAAAGCGCAAGGCACCCAGCCAGGTCATGATGGCATAAATCAAATCCACCGTGTGGATCCCTCCTGCATGGATGACCAGGGTCACCGGGCCCGACACGTATCTACTCAGAGCCACACACTTGGGGTAAACCCTGTCCCAGATCAGTCCCCTGATACCTCTCCAGCGAACTCGAGCTATTTCGGAGGAAAAACCCAAATTGCGTCCGTACGGCCATTCTTCGGTCCGCCTAGCTGCCCAATAAACCTAAGAATGTCCCAAAATCCAAACGTAATGGGGCATTGAACATAGAAAACAATATTTATAACAAAGTCGGTCTAACATATGACCTAAAACGACTCAATTTCCATCTACCCAAGCGCGTAATAGAATCATCAGAAAACCCCATCATGCTAGCCTGGGTACCCGCCCCAATCCTAAAAGAATGTGCAGAAAACCCTCCCAGACCCACCTTGCAGGCCCTCAAGGTGGCCCGCAACATGGCAGAGAATTGGTACCACGACAGTGGTGACCCATCCTCTTGAACCAGGAGGGAACCAGCTGTCATGATACCTGTTGTATCCACTGGAGAGGAGGTTGGGCATCTGGACGCCCATTCTCAGGAAGGCAC